TGCAAAAATAGAAGCACAGCTTTCTATAAATGTCTAAGAGAGTTTTTCGTCATGATTCACACTGAACTGAGACTACCCATCAAACAGTTTTTTTTTTAATTCATTCCACTCATTGTTGTTGTTGTTGTTGTTTGCTACTTTGTTCCTTCAAAGACTAGTTTGCATTGCGGACCTATTCTTGTGACATTAATTTTCTAATGGGTGAACATGTACTGCTGGGCGTCACTGGAGTTAGGTATAAGCGGTAAAAAGTTACTTCAAGTAAGGCGCACGGAAATTGGTAACTGTAATGTACCTATTGTTCTTTATTAAGCTGCTGGAAAAGTTCTCCAAAATGCTCCTCTTCTTGCAAAGACAAGTCTTTTGTTAACTTTGCTAGTCTGGAAGAAAAAGAAGATTAGGTTGTCAATCAAAATATCATGTCATTGACATCAAGGGGCTCACCTCAAAAAGAAGACTGGGTTGTCAATCAAAATATCATGTCATTAATATCAAGGGGCTCACTGCAAAAAATCATGGAATGAGCTCCTGATACCATCTGGGTGGTAAAGTTGCTATGAAGAAACTATTACCACTGTCAGAGTTGTCCAGTACCTTTAGGTGCCTAAAATTAAAGGTTACTGATATGAAAAATGATGCAGTATCAACATATTTGTCCTGCCATTACTAAATTATTAGTGAAACATAACTTAACAAAATGTCAGCCACACATTTTCTCTTTCAAAGTGATTGCCTGTTTGACCCAACTCTTGTTTCTTGTGTGCTTTAGACAACAATTGATTCAAAACCACTTTCAGAGAACATTTTTGCTCATAAAACTCAAACCTCTTTAAAAATTTTAGAGAGGGCAAACTGTAATATAGAAGAAGGTGAAAAAGTGTATGTAAGTAACATTTTTATTTTGATGAAAATAGATACATGTCTTCATGTTTTATTCCTCCAGCATTCCAAAGATTTTCAAGATTATGAACCCTTTTGAAAGGCAAGTGGAATGTTATTCATAAACAATGACACAGTTGCATTCACAGAATTCATCAGTTCAACTGTTTGACCCTCTTAAGTGACTTGCATCTAATTTCTCCTTAAAATATCACCCCTGAATCACACATTAAGGGGTCATTAAGGTCACAAGATAAAGTAAATGATCACAAACTAAAGAAGGTCTTGATTGTTAAACAAATAATTCTCCTTGTCAGCACCTTAGGAAATGTAATGAGATCAGTGTGGAGGATGTGCAAATTGATGTTAGGATGTAAAGGGTTACAGGAACATTTTTCTCAAGAAACAAAATTTCCAAGAACTAAATTGATGAAGCAATTAATTCAGCTGATTTTAAGTGGTTCAAAACAAATGTTTTGCTTAATCTATGATTATCAGTTTAGAGTGACGTCCCTGGATGACTTGTGCAAAGTTATGAATGGTTTGTGGATGGCTCAAAATTTGAATCAATGTTGCAGTTTTGCACAAAAATGTATCAAGAATATACATAATCCAGCTTTCCCTCTAGTTATTGTCAGCTCTCTCCATGATCAACCCTTGGCAATACTGAAGACTTAGGTCACAAGTTTTCCCAATACAAGTTCCCAAACAGTAAATAACATTGTATCATGAGTCAAGCACTCCCCAGGCCATCTTTACATTATTTTGGTTTTATAAATTAAAGTTCTTCTCAGATAAATGCCACGAGAGCTGCTGCCTAATCAAGAAGACTTATATTTCTGGGCTTGTAATAACTGCCAAGTTCCAAGACAAAAAACAAAATGGATACTAGGCTTGTGTCACAAGTAATAAGTGAGACTATTTTACAGGTTGTGACAATTGGTAAACCACAGAAAACCAAAGTTGACTGCTAGCGGCAATTGATTAAATGAACAAAGAGATTCAAAACAATAAAATCTATCAACAATCCAAACAATCATAAAATATCAGTCCTGATGGGCCAAAGGTTAAGAAACCAAAAAATGTCCAAAGTACATGGTTAACAAGATCACAGGAAATCAAAGGGAAAACTACTTAAAAGAGTTAGCTTTTAAATGAGCATGGTGACCCTGAAAAATTGAGTTAAAAAAACAATAGAAAATAAGAAAACATTGTAACTAAGTTCATAAATAAGAAAAAGAGACAAATAAAATCTGATCAAAATTGAGCTTCAACCTGTATCCTTAACAGACATCATTAACCTTTGTGCAGTAGTCACCTATTTAGAAACATTTCAAGGTGTTTGAATATATCAGCCAAATCATCTGTTTGAATTTGCTTTACTTTTTGAACCTGAAGTGATTAACATGTAACTTCTCCCTATAACAGCCTGATCATTATCCAGCAAACAGGTCATGGGAATTCTCAAACTTAACAGGCAGAAGTTGTTATCTTAAGCTAATATTAAGTTCTCATAACTAATTCACAAAAACATTTGTAACAGGAAGAGAGGAGAATTAATAATCAGATCTTGGAAGTTAAGAGGGTTAACAAGGCATATCCATATAAGACCAGATTGATTTTTATTTTGGTATGTTTTAAACCATAACAGTGAGTAGTGGACAAAGAATAAATAACATTGAATACATGGGTTAATAAAATACGTTTTGAACCAACAAATAATAAATTAAAACCACATTATTTAAATCACGCAAGATCCAGTTGAGGAATTTAGTGGTAGCTTATTTCCAATTGATTTCCTTCATGACCCCTGCAAGGCAATAAAGCCTGCGCAGTATCCAAACATAATTAACCGTAACAAAAAACAATCTCACCATCAAATGCCAGGCAATGATAGCAATAATTCAACAAATTTAGGCCACACAAAATATTGTGATTTGCCAGTGTCTTGCTTATTAGCTGCAGCCTTCAACATTCAGCTTTGAAAAATAATTCATCTACATACCATCAAAAAATTTTAGGCTTTGATCAACATGGTCCACTCTTGATTGGGACAGCTTTCAAGTGGTTTAATTTCAAAGATGCATTTATGTTGGCAAAATCATTTTCCTATCACCTCTCATTTATTTCTAGTTCCTAGAAAAAAAATTCAGAGGAAGGGGGGTAACTTAAGGGAAATTTACAGAATTCAAGAAGATAAGGAAGTAGTCATTTGCCCCCTAAATTGCTTAATCAAAACTATAACAAAAGTCTTGAACGTGATTGGTTATCACCAGCTCAGATTGATCGAGCACTAATAGGAAAGTGTACCCATCATGCTTGTAATTGGACAGTGTAATAGGACAGTTAAATTATAGGGCCAGTTCACATGTCATGCCTGTGTAAGTTGACAGAACATATCATGTGCGTGCACTATTGTCTCAGATTTCGCTGAGTTAACTGATGTTTTTTTTATGAAAACGTATAAGTGGTGTCTAGTTTCTTTCTCAAATTTTGTTAGAGTTTTGATTAATTGGTAGTCATCCGATTTTGTTAGTCACTCGTACAATTACAGACCGAACTGGATTCCACTCAGTCCTGTTACCATTATTGTTTGTATAAATCCGGACAGAGATTTATCATTTCATCTTAGGATTTGGTACACAATTAATTTAAGAAAAAAAGTTGTTTTGCAGCCGAAATAATATAAAATTTTCACAACGTGAAATGTGAGAAGGGTTTATTCGAGAACCACTCCATTTTAGAGTGCACATTGCAGCAAAAAGTTTAATTTTTCTATGCAGTTTTGCCCAACCAAATTTCAAACCTTTTCGTTCCACACAACTAATCTTTAAGTGCTTTGCACGCAAGCAAATATTTGAATTTCCAATGCAACAAGGCACCTTAAGTAAATTGGACTGGTTTATTACAAAACATAATAGGCTTATTGAGCTTAAAAAACGAATGAGAATGAAGTTAAAATTATCATTAAAAAAAAAAAAAAAACAAATTCATAGAAAAAGATTTTTGGTGTGTGTCTTACCTTTGACATACTGTTTACAATATACCGTTCCCTGGCAGCGACATGTATTGCGAATTGGAGATGCATAGAAATTTGCCATTTCCGTGTTATGGAGCCACTGTAACAATTTTCGCTAAAGAAATCATGACCAAACGAGGGTACTCGTACTTCGCGAGGCCTATCGAAGGTTTCGATGCTAGAAGCGATGCTGAGCACTGATTACTCGCCATGATGTTTTCTCTTATTCGTTCCCAGTCCTTTCAGCAAAAGGAAGTCATTTTGCCAAAACTGGGCGCGAATTAATATAAAACTACTTAAAATTCGAGAATTTAGTCACTATCTACAATAATTTTGGCCTTTCCGGTTTTTCGTATTTTGACGCTTTCTGTGAAATCCTGAATCTGATAGATCAAGGGAAACGTGCCTTAACAGCCCACGTAGAATTCAGTTCATCAAAGGTACACTCGCCTTCAGCTCTCATCTGTTTTGACAGAGTTACTTGGTGTTGAGGTTATCTATCGTCTACAATTACGCAGACACAGGACGAAATGAAATCCCAGCACTTAATGACATGTTACTGACAGAGTTGCAAGAGTAAGTTGAATGACGAAACCTTTACCCCTGTAAATGTTTTCTGTTTCTTTATTTGCCCTTGATTTCCAATATTGATTACAAGCTTCACTGGACTTCGTTGCTCGAGTAACAAGACTCGTTCACTATAGCAAATACTCCCATTAAACCAATTAAATTAGTAAAAAGAAACTTGAGCTAAAAGAATGAAATATTTCCCCTTCCGATGCTCATTAGATAAATAAATTTAGGAGTTCTTTTCCTTCTTCAATTAACGGTCACACATTCTTTTACTCAGAATACCAACTCCGTTGCGTCATTAATTTTGCGACAGTAGCAAGGTAAACAAGCCAGCTATGACTGTCAAGGTTACCAAGGTTACATAGATGTCAAGGTAAGCAGGCAGAACTGTATAAAATGGCTAATAAATAGGAAAAACAAAATATTGCTCGATACGACAAAGTAAAACTAACAATTTATGGCAATTTAAGTTTGCAAAGATTTTAGTCCAACTGATTTGTTCGCTGGTTTAGAAGTAACACCCCACGGCCATAAAAATCGTACTAAGACTTTTTTTGACAATGGTACTCGATCTGCTCGTTGCTACATTGCTATCCTGTTATTAGGGAAGTACTCAGTGCAAGGCTATGTGAAATGTCCGTTATTAAGCTCAGTGCACCTGTTGACAAGCTAATGGAAGCTACTTTGTCATTTCATGATCGTTCTTGCATGGGTAATTACACCGTGTTCTGTTTATTAGTCTTTGCACGCCTTTTTCTCCAAGAGCTTCCTTTTTCTTCATCGCCATCTGTACCTTTCTCCTTCTCCTCTTTCTTTTCAGCTTTGATTCTTTCCTTTTCCTCTTCCTTCTCTTTCTTCTTTTCTTTTTCTTCTTCCTTCTTCTTCTCCTTGTCAGACTTTTCTTTGACTTTATCCTTCCCCGTCTCTTTTCCTTCCATTGCTTCTTGTCCAAGACTCGGAGGAGGAACAAGGCTTTGCCTTGGCGATCCAGGAACACCACTCTCTCGCCTTCCCTTCTTCAACTTGTCTTTCATCTTCCCCTTCCTAGTGGGTGTAGCTTCAGGATCTTCACTTGGCCCGGACACTGTTATCTGAGGAGATCCTTCAATTGTGTGGGTTCCTCTTATTCCATGAACTTGGAATTTCTCATAGTTGTCTTTCGGTCTATCCAGCGCGAACAAAACTGCCTCGATCAAGATAATGATCCCCACCATGTACGGGAAAAAATGAGGGACGAAATATTTTCCAAAGTTTACAGCTAATGTGGCGCAAATAAGACCAAATGCGAGTGCGTGAATTGTGTTCTTCAAAGATCCTTCGATCATCGGAGGTCCAGCCATCGCCGACCGTAATGTAGGTGTTGACAGTTCACAGCGAAAAACTCTGAAAGAAACTCGAGTCGTCGGACACGGTCTATGGCGAGTTAAGGTTTGCTGAACGTGCAAATGAACATAACATGTTTTGAGAAAAACACTCGCCCTGGTCACGATCTACTACAAATTTGCAGGTTTCGAACAAAAGACCACCGGTGATGCATTTTATTTTGTTTTGACGCGCATTAATTATACACGACGGTGAATAATACCATGAATTAATGTTTCCAAGGCCAACAACCTAAGGCTCAAAAAGAATTTGGACATAGTCCAATATCATTCCAAAAAACCGAAACTGTTGTGAATTCAAAAGACTTAACAGTTGAATTAATTTCATTAAAATTTTGTTATTACGATTTTACGAATTAAAAAACAGGCTTAAAAGATAGGAAAAAAGCTCATTGATTTTTTTCTGTTAGTATAAATTTGTACCGTTGCAACACTGACCACTAAATGTTTTCGATCTCTTATGAAATGTTTGATAACAATACTTATGCAAATAAAACACGCTGCTAAATATTTTAATTTAAAATGTCAAAAGTTTGGCATTTTTCGCCAATAGTGTTGCATGGGCAAAATAAAGTATTCTTAATCTTTTTGCTGTTTTTTTTTTTTTTGTTTTTTTTTTTGTCATATTTAATTTAATTATTTATTTTTATATTGTGTGTGTGCGAGCATATCTAGACTTTTGCCGGCTCCTTTCCACCTTCAGGAAAGTTAAGCCCCTCCCAAAAAATAGTGGGTTAGGAAAACATTTCACAGGCAAGTGTGTTGATTGACAAAAAGACAAGTCAAATGTAATGCCTTTAAAGGGCAGCCAATCAGAACGCTACATTCGATTCAATATGAGCCGCTCAATTGCATCTAAACGCACAGCCTTAATTATCTCGTAAGGCAGAAAAAAAAAGCCGTGATGGTAGAAAATATCCCGACTCGTTATTTAGTTTTATTGTCAAAAGTGAGAGCAGATAGTGAATGACCTTTCCTCCCAAAATTTTAAAGTATGATTAAAGTAAATGAACAGCAGTCTTTCGAAAAAAAAACGGTCAAAAAGTAAAACGTAATGATGATGTGAAGATGTGAATAAGAGAAATAGTTACATAAGTTAGTATCATTTGCAAATTTATTTTCTTTGTTAACTGAAAAACATGTTACATTTCCAAATAGCATGGTTTCTTATTTAGAATTTTTTTTTCTGCTGAAGTGAACCATTTTCATCAGCGAGCTTAAAAATCTGTACCTCCTGCTAATCTGTTTTACTGGTGATAAGGAAGTAGGGTTACAGTTAGGTGTACATGCATACGAACTATAACTTGCCATTGGCATTTGGGGGCATGACGCGTTGTTTTATTTTTAATAAAATATTTATCAAGAAAGAGGGAGGTCACATTGACCCCTTTAGCGCTGCCCCAACCGTGACATATCACCGGTTTTACAATAATGATGTTCAGTTGCAAAAGTAGGAACCATTCCTCCTTTTTCTTCGCACAGTATGAACCATGAGTACATTTCTTCAGATCTGATGAGCAAGTTAAAACAAAAAGTCTTGCATTTAACCAGAGGATTATGGTTCTCTGATATAGAAATAACACTGAAAAACATGAACGATTTTCCATTGGGGGCGTCCCCTAGCCTCAGGGCAGTATCAGGGTGTTCCATCACCATTATTCTTGCAAATCATGTTTTTTTCTCAGCAAAGAGGGAGGAGTGGGAGGGGATAAGTACACTCTCCAGCCACAACCCCACCCCCACCGTAATTCAAAAGGAAGTAGTAATTTTTTTTGTACGATGCATCTTCGACAAAAAAAAAAACTCAATGAGGGTGAACCAAATGTTGGCCTGCAGAAATTCATCGCAATCGAGGAACAGAAGAAGAGCAAAACCCGTGCAAGAGAACAATATAAATGAAAATACTTTTTTTTTAATCAAAATTTTATTTCCAAGATTTACCTTGCTGAAGATTTAAACAGTTTGAATGAAAATACAGAGATGTATCCCAATGAATCAAAAATATGGCCATGATAGAATAAAAGGAAAGAAAAAATCTAGTGAATATATATCCTTTGGTGCATGTACAACTTTGGAAGAAAAGCTACTTACATGTTCAACTTGTTGATTAAGCAAGACCTCGATAATCATCTTTCGACTCCCCGAAGCTGATCCAAAGGCAGTTTCTCCTTACAAGGTTCACACAGTTTAAAGCGAACAGGTTACGAGAAAATCAAATTGATCAAATAGAAAACCTCTTCTGGAAATTTTGACCACGCCCATACATAATCTTATATTACCAAAGAAGGCAACGAATATAACTATAGATATATCTTACCAGGTCCCTTTGAAAACCATTAACAAAATGATAAATCAAGCTTTGAAAAAAAAAGATGAAATAACTTTGCAAACATAGTAATTTTCGCCGATTTCAATTCTCTGTCAATTTCCATCTTAGTTATCCGTAACTAAATGGCATAAATATTTCTGCAATTGCAATGTCAGTAGTGTTAGACAAGCGTTATTGCCATTCTTCAATTCGTCTTTTCTTTACTCTTGTCGGCCTCTGATGTGGTTTCTTCAGTGTTCTTCTTTCTCCCAAACAGAATAAGTTTGATAATTTTAAAAATGATCACCAAAATGAACTTTATGCACTTGGTGAAAATCTGCAAGCCGTAGGACCATAGTAGAGCTGTGAGAATCGCGCAGAAGAATATGGCAACCAGGCTAAATAGTGACACCATATTTGTAAAGTCCACCGAAAAAGTATGAATTTTAAAATTTATCCCTTTGAGAGCTACAGTTGTGAACGTCGATTCCTGAGGTTAAGATCTCTGTTAGCGTCTTTTTGCCTTGGAAAGATAAAATATTCGATGTAACTACAGCAGATTACCTTGGTTAATTCAAACGAATTCACTCGATGAGAAGTATGGATATAGTAGAGCGTTCATCAACTAGCAAAACGTCATTTGTTTTGTGTTCCAACTACAGCTCTGGTTCTTTACAAGTATTGAGTTTCTCGAGAACTTGAGTTCTGTCCAGATTCCCGGGAAGCACCTGAGAAATATTATACTAACACCTGCAACTTATTGTTTTTGGAAAATAATTAACAATTTCCTATGCAGATGAGAAGTATTTTGTTTTATTTAAAATTAGATGGCACCAATTTTTATGGATCAAAACGAGAGCGTAAAATACGAACGCTGGGTCTAATATTTCCTACGCTGGGATAGAATAAATATTCAGTCGTAAGCTTTTGTTTGTGAAATTATATCTTTATACTGGTGTTAGGCTTGAACAGGAATTACAAGGTGATTTGGAAGCAATATTTTAATTAAAGATGAATGTGGCTTTTTTTCTTTACTGTAACTCAACTAAAAGGTTCTCTGTTATCCAGAAAGAATTCTAGATTATCCGGTCATTTTCCCAACTTTTCTTGATGTTCACCCATTTCATGTAGTGAGACCTTGTTTGGTAACTTCAGACATTCCCCAAAAAAACAACATATCTACCTACGATTAATACATAATTACATTCATAAATTGCACCGTTAGTTTCTACGATCCCATCTTCGAAACGCAGAGAAACTTTTAAATGAAACACTTTAATCCAGCTATCAAATCGATCAGCCCCAAAGAGAATAACTTTCTCCGTACGAAAAGTCAGTTTCAGCGGAAACTTTTCGAAGTGATAAAAGATGAGGTTTTCCCCGAATCTCATTAAAGTACGAAAACTATAACAGTGAACATTTTTGCATTGTCTTGACTGCGGTATGCACCATTACTGAAAAGGGACTGTCTTTCCTTGAAGAATTTCAGTTGTAAACAGATCTTTTGAGTGTATTACGACACCTGCTGGCCGATGACAACTTGTCAATTTAACAAACTCTAATCCTATCATACAATCTAGCCACCTGTATCTTAGTATTTAGCAGTTCAATATGCAAAACATGGTTTGTTGCGCGCAAAAATATCTTAAAATTTTTTCAAAGGGTTGGCAAATTCCAAACAAACACTAAACAGTTATCCTGGATCTTTGTCTCAAAAGCTACAGTTTGCAGAACGTAATCTGCTTACAAAACAAAGGTGGATTGGTCTATGAGTCACTCTCTTAACCTTCTGCGACATTTTCTTTTTCACAGAGTAAAAGCTACAATTCAGCTCCCAACACTCCTGTGCGTAATTTGACATAATTAACACTCGTTCCTTTAAGAAATTAAGCAACGATCGAAAAATATATTAACAACCAACTGAGTTTTATTCAACTCTTTTAAAACTAAAAACACCTCAAAAATAACGTTTTCCCCTAAATAATTAATACTTAACAAAGTTATCGAGCCAAGTTGCTAATGGTTAAATGGCCATGTAGACAAATTGGATTATTACCATATGAACAAAGAAATAGGTCTCGTACAAATATCTCTACAAAAATCAAGCTTTAAACAAATGGTCTAATGTCTTTTAAATCTGAAAATTTCGAACAATTGAGAACACTATAGAAAAGATGCTTATTCATTTTCAATAAACACTAAATAAATAAATCATGGTATTCTAGAGAAGACTCTTCAGTTAGCAGTTAGACAAGTCAACGTCCTCTTTATGTGAGATGAGTTTGTTTTCTCTGCCAACAACCAACCATGCATAACTCGAGGGACGCCCTCAGTCAGGTGGATAACAGAGCCGATATATTTAGACCACCGATACTTTTTAGTTCTCGGCAAAAAAAATTGTGATTAAACAATGAATCTAACTATTTAGCAGCAGCTGCCGCCTTTGCTTCGGCCTTAGCCTCCTTCGCTTGAGCTTTCTTCGCTGTTTTCTCTGCTGCCTTTTCCTGCTTGTTACTGGTCTGGCTTTTGGGTGACTGATTGGAAGCTTTCGCCGACGAGGCAGCCTTTGGCGAGGCAGGAGGTGACGAAGGTCTGTTTGAAGAAGTCTTCTCCGTTCTCGTCGGAGGCCTTTCTGGGTCAATGCTCTTTCCTTTCGTCAATGCAAACATTAACACTTCGAACAATATCAGTCCGAACATGAAATAACAAAACCAGTCCTTTGTAAAATATTTGCCAAATGTAACCAAAAATGCTGTGGATGTCAGACCAAATCCAATTACTCCAAAAACCATTTTGAATGTCAAATTATTTTCTTTTCTGGCAATTGCAGTGAAACGTCTTAAACACACAGATTGACAGAAAATTGTGCTCTGCTTTGAAATGAAAATTTTTGTTGTTTAAATGTCAATCAAAGTCACGTGCCACTCATAGAGCGAAGTAATTGGTGGTCACTGGAAGCGTGACTTATGAATATGGCACAACTCCGGAAAAAGTTTGCCAGTAAGTTCAGCCAGGCCGTTTCATTCCTATAATAAGGTAAATATGACTTTTAGAAAACAAAAATAAACTTAAAAGAGGCTTACCGTGCTAAAAAACTCGATTATGATGTAGGAATTAAGTAAATGAAAAAAACGTGTTTTCCTTTTCTTTCCGATGAGATTTTACTGTTTAATTTTCCGAATTATTTTATCGACACTTATGTACTGCCCCTTGCCTCGTTAACTAAATTCCTCAGTTGAAACTTAGTGTTGGCTCGATAACGATAAATAAGACTGTACACAGACATCTGCATGTATTAAATAACGCTGAGAAAATTGACGATTTGACAAAAAATGGACATTAGACGCTGGCGACAAACCAAATGAATCTTAAGGTAGTTTAAGACGACTCGGTGAATCATTAATATTTTACTTAAACTTAGGTAGGTGTGTTCCCGGTTGAGAAAAAAAAATGTTTTGCCGTAACCTACTTAACTAGCCAAAAAGTTTTAGCGTAAAGTTTTATAAGCATACAGATACCGTAAGCGGTTGGTGTTTGATAGCGAAATATCATACTTCATTATAGGTACAATTATGTAGTATAGAAATAGTTTAGTTGGTCAAGTTCTTTTGTGCGTAATTTCACAGACCATAGGAAAACCTGAAAATAACATGCGCATTAAAGGAAAAACACCAGTGTTAAGAAATAGCCGGAAGATCGATATTGACTTAAATATTAATAATCCAGAATGCTTATCGTTTTCAAGGCATTTACTTTCAGATAATCAAATCTAATTTATCTGTCCATAAAAATGAATTAAAAATATCGAAATCTCGTCAGTTTAGGATATAAACAGTTGTCCTGTTAATTCCCGAGAATGTGACCTTCAAATAAATATTTAAATGGAAAAAGAACAAGACAGATTTTAGGCTAGGGAACCACAAAAAAAACACTTGTTGGCACATCTCCGCCATTTTGAATTTTTCCCCTGGGAGACAATGAGTAGTCGGAGGCGGATTAAACTCTATAGTTTGGCGCTTATTCAAACATATGTCGTCCTATGTACCAGAGCGTTTAAGACAAAAAAATTATATTGCCAGCATTGTTTCGCTAATCGGTAAATTACCTGGCTACAAATGTTTTCAGAACGCTCCAGCAATTTGCGGTAAATCATATGTGGATTTCAACTCGTGACGTCACCTAACAATTGACTTTATGACAAAGCGAGACACGTGTAGCGCTGAACAGAACTAATTTGCATTTCTTTAGTACTGCAAACACATAGCCAGCCATTGTTTGACAAAATCTCAGAAATATAAATTTTTATTTTCACTTCGCTGTAGAAATTAAAGATGTTGTTATTTCTGCATAAGCTGAGCTAGGTAAAAATTCAAAGTTACCGGAGAACATAGAAATATTAATACCGCCGTTTATCCCTGGAGACGGTAAAAGTTAACGCGTTCGACGATAGGGCGTGGAGAATTTCCATACATAACACACTTATATTTGCTATCCTCGATTTATTTTCAAATGAAGAAAACAGCAAATAACATTTAAATTTCGCTTAGTTTCAATTTCTGTGAACACATTGTTATCCAATATTTCAGTTTCGAGATGGTCTGATTTGTGAATGCTGCTAAAAGTTGTTAATCCTCGGCTCCAAACGAGCTAGTGTTCATTATTGACTTTCTCGTGTTCTAGTTTGTGTGGTAAATAATTCGTTGGATACCTCAGAAACGGCCAAGACCGTTCATGGTCTCATTCATCATGGATTTCACGTCGTCAAGTTTCTGAGTTTCCTCGTAAAGCTTTTCCTTCAACACACTTTTCTCCACCTCCAGTCTTCCGATTTTCCTTTCAGCCGCCTCGTAACGCATTTCCTCATCTCTCCTTAGTTGCCAGAGCTCACGAATTTTATTTTCGAAGGCTTCCTCGCGATCGCCCCGTTTTTCTTCGGAAATTTCCAATTTCCGTAAATGCCTTCCCACGAATTTGTTCTGCTCCTCCAACTCCCTTCCTTTTCCGACGGCAGCTCGCAAACGCATTTTAAAGCGCTCGGTTTCACGAGTAACAGTCTGCAGCCTTCGCCGACACTCGGCACACTTATGCTCGCTGTAATCGGCTGCATTTTCATATCGCCTAATCTCCGCTTCTAGCTTCTCAAACTTGCGTTCGTCCTCCTCCTCCAATTCATCCAGAATCTTTCGCTGCCGATCTTCTCTCTCTTTCCTTCCAAGCTCTTCGCGATAGAATTTCTCTTTATCGAAAATTCGATCTTCCACTGCATCTAATTTTTGTTCCAGTAGATGTTTTCTCCTCTTTAGTGCGTCCCGTTCCTTTTCCTTCTCATCCGCCTCGTGGTTTGCGAACACGAGTTTTTTTATTGCGGCCTTTTCACGTTCCTCGGCCTGATCAATTTCGTGTCTGTATCGACTTGTTTTGGCCTTGAATTCTTCCATTTTGTACGGTTTCGAATGTTTGATCGTAACTGGCGTCTGCCGTTGTTTATAATTTTTCTTTTATAATTCGAAATTCACCTGTTTCGCCAAGTGGAATAAATTATGGTCTCCGCCTTCACCAATCATATCAAGGAAGTGACTGGTGGATGTTTTGTATAGTCTGACCAATGGGAATCGAGGTTTTTAGTTACAAACAAAAGAAATTTCTGCGTTCTCAAGAATGACAGAAGCAACGATCAAAACCTTTTTCCTTTGTTGATTTTTCTGACTTAAAGAGAAGCATGCCTTACGAACGACTCTTTCCCTCCGTTGGATTTGACATTTTCATAATTTATATTTTAAAGAAGTTATTCCAACTCCAGACGATTTCTTTGGACTAAAACATTTACCTATAATGCTGAAGAAACCAAGGGCGGCGTCTAAACCAATGAGCATTTCATAAATTTGGATTTTCCCCGTAAAAAACGTTTTATCATTTTCACCAAGCGCTGCCTATATGACCTTGAACAACTATCTTTCAAGCTGGCGACGTTATCGATAAAGTGTCAAGAGTTCTTAATGCAAATTTAACGCTTTGTTATGGTGTCAACAGTTTTTGTTACTGAAACCATCCTTCAACAGGTCAATTGTAATGTGCCGATTTGCAGACAACAGACTAGAGTTACCGCCTTCAATTCAAGCAGGATTTTACAGCGGACCACAGTAATAGAACCGAAGATACTTATCTCACAATTCATTACAAACAAATTCACGAAAGCGTTTGAACTTTACCAAATAAGGTAATAGTTCTAGCAGCCAAACAGCTGGGAGACTTGACTTTTATAACTTACGATTTGAAATACGAAAGCTGGTAGTAGAATCATTTTCACGTTTCCTCAACAATGTGGATGAAAGAATATGACGAGCCTCTTTCTTTCAAAATTCTACAAATCCAAAAACTGAAATGCCAGTTTTTGTGAGAGATTTGTCGAGGAAAAACGGACGAAATTTTCTAGCATATAGATCACTTCACAGGAAAACTTAACACGAACGTCGTAGAAGGTTTAAGAAGAAGAAGTCATGTTGTGAAGTTTTACTTAACACCAACAAGTTTTCATGGAAAAGTGCATTGAAAGAAAAATTGATGGATTAAATCAAAGGTAAAAGAGGTGACTGGTGAAGAACGCTAGAATGATGAAATGAATGATGAAATCAATAGCACTGCTGTTTAATTTATGTTGAAAGCTTCCTGATCATGCACAATCTCTTTTTGTGTGTTCAGACATTGTGTCAGACTGAGCAAATTAATTAGTTTTTACTGGTTAGTAAGTTGATAATGATTGAAAAGCTTTTGAAAGCTGTGCTCGTCCGGGTCCAAATTAAAAACCCCAACAATAGCCATTAACAAAGAAACATATTGTTGAGTTATCATATGTTGTATTGATTATTCAGTTAACGATAGGCATTGTCAGGTCCAAAACACCTGACAACAGCAAAAAACTGACTACAGTATTTGTAAATGCGGCTGCAAACTTGTGTTGGCAGAGAAAAAATAAAAAAATAAAAAGTTCGTAACATTTCGGTGGTGTAGAATTCTCCTTATCAGGTTTTGGAATTATGTACTCTGGCTCGAGAATTTTTTTGTGTGTACCTAAGGATTATTTTAATTCAAAAGGGAAATTTAATTCCTGTATCGAATAGCCTGCAGAACAAGCGCAATTTGGCGAGTGCTCAGCATGTTGTTGGCAAAAATTATGCACACCATCTTTGATTTAATGGCAATGGAAGGCTAGGTAGAAGAAGAGATTTGCACCAGAGGGGTGAGTAACGGTCAAAAATAAGGAGAGGGTTTGGGGCGGGGGATTGAATATTACACCTATCACCACCCCATCCCCCCACCACTGCCTTTATCTCCAAATCAAACAGAGCCGGTTGAATACACGATCGCGAGCTTCTTAACGTCAACTCGCCCTAATGAGACGCCTGTATTGAAACCTTTACATCGAAGGGAGAACCTCCCGCAATGATCCACAACATTTTGTAGTGTTGAGAAGAGAAAAACATAGGATGTTTATCAAATACGTTATTATAATGATTAGTTGCTACGCACCTAACTGGAAACTTCAAATGTATTCTGAGAATTCAACTATAAAAGAAGCAGATTTATTTTCAAAGAATAAATAAAAACAAAAAAATTCATGTGTCAACTATATAACCCTCTTAATGCAAGATTAAATCTGAAATTCTCCAAATATTTCCACCCTAAATTTGTATGTGCATGGACAGGTTAGGAAAAACATTTCCCATAAATAAAAGCTCAGATCCAGCTACTTCTATTGACCTTCCTCTTTTGTCAAATTAAAATTTGATAGAAAGACGTTGGTAAATCAACTAACTAAAGGAATATCAAAGCCTCACCGATGTAATAAGAAAAAAATATTTACATTTAAGTCAGTTAGTTAATTCTCATCGAATCCTTTAGCACACAAGGCCTTGTCCTCAAACGTAAAGGAAAAGCGAATTCCCTTCTCACATTTTGAGTGGAAAAAAATCAATTTTTTCCCCTCATTAGTTACAAAAAGCTGCTGTGAGATTTCTACAGCTCTCTTATCCTGCTGATGTAGCAAATTCTGTCTCCATTCAGTATGAAATTCTGTGTGTTATCATTGTGCACGTCTATGTAGAGTACGCAACGTTGAAATGTACATCAAAACGCGAGCATTCAAGTTCAGATCAACTTGAGGCACGTTTTGCTTGGTGAAATAAAAAACACAAACTGTGTATTGAACTGCATGAGGTGTCACTACGTGCAGAGGCTATCCCGATGTCTCATTTGAAGTTGTGTTCCTCACACAGACCACACTGTACGTAGGAAACCATCAGCTGTAAATACAGCGAAAACTCAATTAGTGATTAAACTCAATAAGAGATTAAAATTAAGCTGAGACTTTGGTGAACACACGGAGTTACTGTGCAGAATATAATTATAAAATGCAGTGAATGCAATAAAAGCCAATGATCTTTGATTCCTAATAACAGTATTGAGCCGTCATCTTCAGAAAAGGCCTCCCCATCTGGTCCAACATAATCAAAAATTGGTCCGCCATCTTTAACTCTTACTGTCTGCTATAAAATTATTGTAATACTGAGAATTTGGTGTTAGATCGACAAATGATCTCCTTATTAGTAGTTTTCTTCACTCTCATCACTTGTCTGCTTAACATCGTTTTGATATTGTAAGGAGAAATTCTATCTTTGTCACTCATGGGAGTTGAGGGGCTAAAAGGATGCATGTGGTCCCCAGACTCCTAGAGCCGTGCTAACGCCATGGAATTTGCTTATCGAATCCTCACACGACTCGTTCCTATGCTTCGCATATCTACGATAAAAATGGAGTCATAAAAGCTAATACCCTATTCACGCCAGCAAAACATGTTTTATTAAACTGATTTTTTCTGAATGAAAATCATAAACAGAGAACTGAAAAACTTAATTTTCCATAGGATTCAAGTACTTGCTAAATTGCATTTCCATTGTGCTAAATTTAAGTCAGAAAAATTTAGGTTAAGTAGTTTCTACGAAGAAAAAAAAGTTAACTGTGTTTAACAAAACAACTCTAAAACATGCTTAAGCTTTGGTGTGGATGGGGTATTAGTTAAATTTACCCTCTTAAAATAATTAGTGCATTTTGGAGACATAAATGAAAAAGGAATTCAGGTGGCAAATATATTTTTTTCATATTGATAGCAAACAACAACACAAAAACAGAGAAAAAAACATCAAACTGACTGCTATTTATGAAAAACAGGATAAGCCAAAAAAAAATAACAACAACAACAACAGAAACAATTTTCAAACAATATTCCTTTTTCCCACCAATGGTACACAAAATGACTACATTGTTTCATATCTAATATTCCTCAATTTCTTACCAATGCTATACAAAACGACTTTGGCCTGAAAACAAATAAAAACAGAGTATGTTGGGTTAATGAGGAATAAAGACATATTTTCTAGGAAATTTAAACTGCCACCCCTTCGTACCAAAGATATTCAAGGGCGTAGCCAAGGGGTGTCCTCGATGTCACGTGATCCCCTCTTTGTCAAGGGAAATTGATAAATTATAACGGTAAAACCCGGCACCCCTTTCGTGTTTAACTACCAGTAAGATGCTAATTCATTCCCTCCCCCTCCCTTTTTTATTACGCTCATTAATTACATAAGAACTTACGATTCTTTCCGTTGTCATCTCAAACACATAACAATAAAAATTTTTAGCCATATTGCACGTTGTTTCCCTGAAATAAGAAAAAACATTTTCTGGTTTCTTAGTTTGAAGCAAAGAGCAAACTGCCCACGACTAACACTTAAAAAAAGGTTAGTGAAAGAAGTAAAATAGACAGCATCACATGTTGTCTAAATGTTCGAGAATTGATGTTCCGGGAGGAAAAAAAGTTTATGGAAAAGAGTCAAAGAAGCAGACAGAAGGAGTGAAGGATACACATTGATAATCAAGTAAGCACGACTCTGAACAGGAAAAAGGCGCTGTTTTTTTTTTTTTTTTTTTACACCTCATGCTTTTCAGAAGCCATGAGACAGACTGACCACTATATTGGCAAACAGGTCAAATAACAAATAGAGAGAGAGAGAGAGAGACGGTCAGTCAGTCGGACACACCGCGAGGCCGAGCGACACAAAAACAGGCAAACATGAAAAATAACTTCACAAACAGTTACTTACCCTGAAACGAAAGCTATCATTTCTTTTCTGTCAGTGCGTCGACCACAAGACGATGTTTCAGTAAATGAGTGTGTTCCCAACACCTAGAAATAAAGGTTTACCTTGAGTGAGTATCTCAATGGGGTGATGGCTTCTACGGCTGATGGTTAAAATTAAAGCAGATTAACGGGTAACGATTAATTTCTTTCCAATGCAGTTACCAGAAAAATATTTTACGGTTAACTTTTTTTACGACTTACAGTTAATAATTATCAAATTTTACACCTGGTTAAATTTTTTGGCCGTTTAACGGTTAACAGGTTACCCCATTGAGACCCTCCTGAGTGATGTCATCCAATGAGTGAAGTCATTTTTCAAGAAATACATGTAAATACTAAGAAACTTTTTATATGTCAACCATGCATGCAACTGTTCTGCATTTATGATTCAAACCTTTGATGTCGCTTGGTCTGTGACCACAATATTTGTCTCAGTT